CACAAAGTTATACTCTTTTTCCGATAAAGTTAGAAAAAAAAATTTTTCTTTTTTGAGCCCCTAGCTTCTAAACCGATTCTAAGAGATGCTTACTGTTGAAAAATTTTGACCTCTAACCTAGAAATCTACATGCTGGTATATGTCCACTGTATGAAACACTCTGTGTAATATAACATATATAATATATTTTATATAGTTATATATAAAATGAATAGTGAAAATATAACAAATTTCTGACCATTTAAATGTGAAATTTTCTTAATGATATAAAATTAAATTGTGAAAATATTCTCATTTTCATTAAATGGACTATTAAATGTTAGAATATTTTATATATTCATATATATTATATGTATAACAAAAATCTTTGATATAATAATTATTATAATAATATTATTATCATTATTATATTATTACAAATAAATATGCTACAGTTATTATTATGAATGTTATTAAAGCAAATAATGGTTTGTATAACAATATATGTAATATGTTTGTAAATGTTATACAATGATATTTTATATACATTGTAATAATAATAAAGATAATGATAATAAAAGATTCAAGAAACTATTTATGTGATTTGTTTTGTATATAAAGCATTTTTTGATAATAAATTAATTTAACATTTTCATTTTACAAGGATGGCAAAAGAATAATAGAATAACGGAGAAAAGTATGTACGTATATATAATTCATTATGAGGTGATTAAGAAATTTAGTGATGACTACTCGTATTATTTGCACGCTAAGAGGACATAATTTTAAAAAAAAAGGAAAAACAATTAAATTTGTTAAAAAATTAAAAAATTGCTTAATTCTGATTTGTTCTTTTTATAACACAAATTCTGTACAAAATTTACTTACAATTCAAGTTTAAAATTAAGGAAGTTGAAGAGTGCACCCAATTATAAATTTAGAATTTCAGACCAAAAATGCTTTTTGTTTAAAAGAAAAAAATTATTCTTTTCCAAGCGGTGCGTTTAATTTCATAAATTACGCCTCCATTTTTAAATCGCAGAGCTCCTTCAACTGAACTACGAAAATATAAAAAAATTATTGGCGATTATCGGAGCTGAGTTAATAGAACTTCCACCTAAGAAACGGGCGGCCTTTAATATAAGTAAATTTTTAACGAGAAAACTTTTCTAAGATTTCTATACACCCTACCTCACATCAGTGACTTTATAAAAAAGTGTTTTTCTTTTTGTTTTATCACAAGTTTTCATTGTGAATTTGCAGTTTGCTGTTCCCTTAATTTATGACCCAAACAATACAATTTCCCTTCTCTTATTTATATCGACATAAATGCTTCACTTCTAAGCTCTCTTATAGTGAAAGTTCCTGTTTATTTCTTATGTACAAAATTTTATTTCATGGAAAAAAAGAAGTTCTTTAATTCATCATAATTTTCTTAAATTTTATGCAAACATTCTATGCTACTCTATCCAAATATTTCTTTAAATTCAATAATAAAGGAATCTTTTGTAATCATTACAAAAATATTTATAGAATTTTAAAAATTGAGAAAATGTGATTTTCAATATATTTGAAATTTGAACTTTAAATTTAAATGTTGTAATACTGGTACTGTCATGTAAAGAATATTGTAAAGGGATTGCATAACCAACCCAAAAATAATATTAAATTTACAAAAGAAATTTATGAATTTTAATAAAATTAATTGAATAATATAAAAGGTGATTCCAAATTATATAGATTCATTTTAATTTTACTATGTGATAAAAATTACAAAATTTCTTCATTAAAATTTCTTTTTTTGTTGTTCAGTTTTATAGTTCAGAACTTCCTTTATTCCTTACTTATTTCTTTGTTTTATTAGATTATATAAAAACGAATATAATAACTAAAATTATTATAAGAATCATCTGTTAAAATTTTTTTTAAAAGCAACATAAAGAAAATAAAATCAATCGTGTTTTATGAAAGAGAAAAAATAAGGCAAAAGAAAATAAAATGAAAAAACAAAACCCACAAAAAAAGGAGCTCGTTCGAATTTTCTATACAACTGTTTTATATTTATACCCTATAAATAACTGAAGTGCTGCCTAAACTTATAAATAATGTATTGGTTCTTCTGGCTAATAAAGTGGACTCTAATATTGTAAGTGGCTGCCTCATTATTATACGTGAACGGGTAGATTTAGATTCATGGTGGCCGGTAATTGTAGAATCAGAGAAAACACGGCCACGAATGCAAGGCGGGCCTCTAAAGCTACATTCATAGGACATGGTCCATTAAAAAAACATCTTCACACTGTAGGCAAATAACAGCCTATACGATTTGTAAATTCTGCAGTGCGAAGATGAGACATCGCTTCATATTCTTTAAACTAGTATAACACGCAAGAAGAAATAATTTCTTATATTATCATCCCTTCAGAGTCCCTAGCAGAAAATTCGATTGGATTTTATTCGCAACCGAATATTTATTTCTGCTATTAGATATTTCACGCGCTACATACGCACTTTATCAAAGATAATTTTCTTTTAATTAATAAGCTTAACGGTATAATTACTGAACTTAATGATAATATGAAGATAAATGGAGCCTAGAAGCTTTTTCGCACTCACAACGAGGTCTCACAGTAATATATTTCACGGGATTTCGGGGGAGTATTTCAATAAATTATATAAGGACTTGCAGAACGGCCTTCAACTAATTATATATTAACTAACAATCTACCATTTTACACTATCTAAGGTTATTACATTTATATATTTAGTATTGATGCTTAAATTTAATTTAAATACAGACAGGGTATAATAAAATAGAATATGTACGACCATAACAAAGGATATTTTTTATATAACATTGTTTTGAATAATCACACAGTAATAAAAATATTTGTTAACATAAAATTTTTTTTTGTAAGTAAAACATGGCTACAAATTTCACTGATTCTGTTCCGAATTTAACAAAAATAATAAAATATTTATGTATATATTTTTCTTTTATTTTTTTAAGTTTTTCTTTTATGAAAAATTACTTTCTGGCCTGATTTTATTACCTAACAATTATATTATTATTATATACTTTTTTTGATGTTTCCTTAAATAAAAAAAAAAGATATTCCCATCCAAAAATTTTAATATTCTGAAATTATTTATTTTGTAAAACGAAAATACTTAACTCTTTATACAATTATTTTATTTAGAATTTTTCAGGAACTTATTTTGGAACTCAGAGGAAAACGCTTGTTTGCAAAGCAAAATTAAACATCCAATCAACAAGAAAGAGCTGAAAGCGAAATTGGCCGATTAATATAGAAAATATTTTAAAATTTTCAGATTCAAAGGAAACGTCATCACTCAACCCAACCAAATTTTTACATTAAATCCTGAAAAAAAAGAAAAGAAAAATAAATTCTTTTAAAAATATTTCCCGAAAATCTTAAAAATCTGTGTAGGTCTAAAATGAGGAAAAAGCAAATCAAAATGGCGGTCATAAAAATTTCGTTACTTTATTATGTAACGTTTTCTTTTGTTTTTATGTCCTCAATTTGAGAACTCATTCTTTTAGAGTTAAAATCTAATAAAAATTTATTTTTATCTCCTATATACCTGCGATCTAGTATAAAAATTGACGATCGAATCAAATTTAATCCTGAAAACGGTTTTCTTCTGCCTTTTTTTCCTTTGTCTTCGAAATTTTTATTGTTATTATGTTTCCTTTCGTTTTTATATTGATTTGATTTCTAAATAAAAATAATTGGTAATTTAAATGTAAATTTTTTTTTTCGGTTTTTTATTATGGTTTCCGCTGTTATTCAATTATTAGAAAATATTTAAAATCATAGTAAGGAAAATATCAAAATTCGTGTGTGTTTTCTTATCGATAAGATAGCTAAATATATATATATATATGTATATATATATGTACATCGTTGGTAAAGAAAAATAAAGCAGATGTAAACATTTTGGGAAATGAAAATTCAATAAAAAATATTTTTCTTTATCGAATTGGCTACAAAGATTATTTTTGTGACTTTGGAACACTGAAATGGGGAATAACTGGTGTTCCAGATAACTTACTTTTCGACATTTTTTCTTATTCTTACCGATTTTCTCTTTTTATTTTAACGAGATAACTGTTTTATGCTTAATTTACATCCTTTAATTCAGTAATTCAAAAATTTAATAATGAAAAATTTTACAATGAATTAAGTAAATTAATGAATACGATAAAGGAAATTGAATAAAATTGTATAAGATTATCATTGGCAATCAATTTGTATAAAATTTTTGTGATTTTATAAGCTTACTTAAAAAAAGATCTGGTAATTTTATAATTAACATTGATTTTAATAGCCGCATTATCTATATGAGTTCATCAAGCGTAAGGTAATTAATAATTTTTTTTTTGGATTTTTTCATTTATTTTTAATTTGAAAGAGAAATTTTAATTCTCGTTTTTATAATTAAAGATATTATTAATATTCATTTTTTTTTCATAAATTTTAATAATGATTTTAAATTTTTTTTAAGCAATATGGTGTATTAATTTGGTGATATTGAATTACATAAGTGAAACGATATTGTTTAAGACAATTTTGTTCAAATCTAGAGTTTATTGCAACAATTCCATTTTAATTTAGTATTAAAGAAGGTGCTGAAAACAAAAATAATAGGGTTAATAAACCATATTCTTAACCATTCCCAAATAGGAACAAAAACATACGTCTGTACGCAATGCCCATATGTCGTTTTATATTTTCGTATCTCAGGTACATATTTCAATTTTAATTATAATTAGCAAATCTTAGCCTTTATCAGTAAGTAGTAAGTCAACGTGAATATTTCCGGTAAATTTTATTGCTGAGAACCAGTTAAAAAAGTTTCAGTTTTAATTTCAACTCGATGACTTATTTTTTTTTTAATTATTAGATTCAAAAATTAAATTTAAAAGAAATTTGAAAATTATATTAAAATTTACTTTTATATTTACAATAATCTTATAATTGGTATATTCCTATGTATACATGCAGTCAATTATAATCTTAACACTATTATAACACTATTACAACACTATGTATTTACAACCATAAAAATATAGAATTATTAAACTTAAATTAAAATGTTATAATATTTTCTTTTTAAATTTTATAAATGTTATAAAGTCTTTATATCAAAAATATTAATTTAAAATCGTATTTATTAGCTTTTATATCACAGATGTTTCTTGACTGTTTGGAGGATAAGGAATATCATAAAGATTTTCTGCAAAAAAAAAAAAAAAACAATTAAAATAATTATAAATTAATAAAATATTTTTGCTTTTACATGTTTTTTTCAATAAAATAATAAAAATAATTAAGAGTTTGCTTTTTATTATATTTAACCCTAAAATGCGCACGGATATTGAAAAATAAATTCTTAGGAAGAGAAACGATTTCGAATTACATAAAGAGGCAAAAAATAATTGTAAAATTTTTTTTTAACTAATTCAGTTGCATGCTTGAATATCTTTCACAAAATTGGGACTTCTCATAACACTGACGAAAATTTCCATCATTCGAAAAAAAAATTTTAATAGTAATACAGTAATATAAAAGCTAAATAGAGCCTTCCTCGTCCCTGAATTATATATTAGCTTTTTCAGTAAACTTAATAATTACAGTTCTAGAATCAGTTTACAATTAAATTTTATTGAAGCTATTTATTATGTTATTAAATTCTTTAGATAATTTCTACATCTTTCTTATATTGAAACCTGTTATAAAACTTTAATATAATAATTTATAAATTTTCAATGAAAAACCATCAGATACAGAACTCTTTATTCCCAAGAGTTTTTATAAACAAAAAAGAAAGAAAATCCTGTAAGTAGCTATAAACCATCAATTTTTTTTTTTTGTAATGAAGTATAGTTTAAAAAATATCAGAAAGATGACCAGGTAAAAAACCGGGAGCATAAAACTAATTTCAAAAGAATTCTTTTGAAACTTTAGACTCCAAAAGAAAATATAAAATTGAAAAATATAAAAGTGAAGTAGTTCCATTTACTCTTTTGTGTCAGAACATAAGATGAAAGAAGAGAAGTACAATAAGAGCACATAAAATTTAAGAAAAATAACTAAAATAAAAAAAATAGCCAAAAGAAAAATCTATTAAAAGGACGAAAAACACTGGTGGATAAAAACTATTAAATAAATCAGGAAAATTTTGGTTTTTCTCTACCTTGTTTTTTTTTTATTAAACCTTTCATTTTTGTGCTCCAGATAATAAGTAGCAATAATAGAAATAAACTTTAAAGGAATTCAAGATTGATATTTCACTATTTTTATAAATGAAATTTTTTAATTAAATTATAAACGAAAAAAATACAATTATTTATAACTGCTTAATCGTTCAATCTTTTAAAATTTAATTTACGAATAGAAAACTAGTGGAATTTACAAATAGAAATAGAATAGAAATGTCGTGACATTAAAAAACAATTTGCCCAATTTACAATTGCTCAGTTGTAAGCGTAAACTCCTAACCTGTAAAATATGTTAACATTTTTAAATGTTAATCTCTCAATAAATTTTCTAATTGGTCTCTTTACATATTTATTCCCAAGAATTTACCAAACTAATTCATTAATTAATTAATTTATTTATATTTACCTCGAAATTCTTCATCGTATTGCAATTTTACTCTTTTTGGATTATCTTCGCGAAATATAAAATAACATAATAATATTAATATTGCTACAACTAAAACTGTTAATAATATAACATAAATTAGTGAAATTAATTTAAATAAACATTTCTTTGGATATGTTGCACAAGTATCGATATGACTTTCAATGCATATATCGTCAATATTTTTTGAAAATCCTTCATTACAATAACAGTCTTCTTTAACACAATATCCATTTGGGCATGTTGTCGAATTACAAAATTTTTTCCAAAACATTTTTGAATTTTCATTTTTATACGTTCTAATATTTGGACCGATTACATCAGCAATTTGTATTTGTTCAGTTCTTTCTGTCGGATCACTAGTATTAATTATTTCCGTAAATGGAATAAAATGTGATGTTCTTGAAAATTTTTTTACAATACTTTCGGTAGTAAAACTAATTTTGTCACATTGTTGGGTTAAAACATTTAACTGGTAACCATCAATACATTCACAATTTCCTGGTGAAACACATGTACCATGTAAACAATTATCACATACAGGATGGCACATATAAGAATCATTTGAATCAATTTTATATCCTTTCTTACAAACACATTTGTATGGTGTTGAGCAATAACCATTTACACATTTTTTCTTACAATGTGGTTTACATTGTCCATTTTTATCTTTCTTGTAATTTTTATGACATTCACATTTATTTGGTGCTATACAATCTCCATTTTCACATGAATCACATGTAGGAATACAAGTATTGTTCATCATTTCATAACCAAGATAACATGAACAGGTGTTAAACGATTTGCAAAAACCGTTAGTACATGATTGCTCACAATACGGTGCACATATGTCTAAATTATTCTTACGATATCCAAAGTTACAGTCACATACTCCAGGAGCACTACAAAAACCATTTTCACATCTTTCTTCGCAAAATGGTTCACAAATTGATTTACTACCACTAATAAATTTATATCCGGGCTTACAAATACAAACATTTGGTGAAACGCATACTCCATTTATACAATCCTCTTCACATTCTGGTTGACATCTAGAAGTACTACCTTCTATTAATGTAAATCCCGCATTACATGTGCATATATTTGGAGCTGAGCAAAAACCATTTTCACAAATATCTCTGCATTGCGGAACACATTGGTTTGAACTATTAGCCTTAATATAACCAGGTAAGCACTCACATCGTCCAGGCTCAATACAACGACCATTTGTACATCCACCATTACAAACAGGAACACAATCACCGGTGGAATTTCTTTCAAATCCACTATCGCAATAACATAACTCTGGTGCTGCACAGTATCCGTTTTGACAACCTTTCGAACATTTCGGCATACAATAACCTTTACCTAATCTTTCATGTAGTTGATAATAATAACCATCATCACAGGTACAGAAATTTGGAGCAGTACAATGTCCATTAATACACTCAGTTGGACAAAAGGGTTCACACAATCCCGTTTCTTCATTAATTTTATATCCAGAATTACAAGTGCATGTCTCGGGAGCTGAACAAAATCCATTTGGACAACCTTTAGAACAATTTGGTACACAAGTACTATTATCATCGTCATCATCATCGTACATGTAGTAACCATCATTACAAGTGCAAACATTTGGTGATATACAAAATCCATTTTTACAATTGTCACATTGCGGAGTACAAGTATCATTTTCATCTTTAATATATCCAGAAATACAAGTGCAAATTTCTGGTCCAATACAACGACCATTCTGGCAATTTGAACATATTGGTATACATCTAAAATTATGAGAGTAAATTATTTTATTATATATAATATAGCTTTTACTATGACTTACCTATGATCATTAAATCTTTGATAACCTGGAAGACACGTACATGTATTAGGTGCTGTACATCTTGCATTTTCACATACGTTATCACAACGTGGAATACAACGGTTCATTACTCGCGCATAATCTGGACAACATGTTTGAATTACTTTCGGTCGTGACCTTACCTAAAATAGAAAAAATTGTAATTTAATTGTCAAAACTTTGAAAATTTGTAAAAAACTAAAGTTCTTTAATTGAAAAAATTTGCTACCCATGCAATATTTTTTTAATTTAAACCGAAGAAAAATCAAAGTAAAAATGGTTTATACTAGAGTGCAAAATAATTGATAACAGCAGCATTCTATTGCTATTATAGTTACACTATAACGCTGCTATATACAAATAATCATTACTGTTCGTTTAGTTAAATGCAATAATCATGTGTTTAATATTATTTATCGTTATTGGCCTATTTTTAGATTTACGAATAGAACAAAAAACACAATGCAAATTGAAGATAAGAACCAAATAATTTAAATTTGATTGATAAGAAATGCCTTGCAACAATCATATAAAACACTGCATTTTTACTAAATAAATAAATCGTTTTCAATTATATTAAATTATTTTTTTTTTCTTTTTTTGAAATATATAATGCAACCCTTAAAGTTATTTGGTACAAAAATTCAAGATAAACGTTTAAATTTCAAACGTTGTTCACGGATATTGTTTTGATGTGAATTTGGCCACGCTTTTTCTTTGTCCATCAAACGGGCGGATGAAAATTAACTTACGATTGCAAACAAAGCTGCGTTTACACCAAGTTTTAATGGTATCAAAGAAAATCACGAAAAATGTTACTTTTATAAAGCCTACATAAAAATATTTTTTGGCTTACAACACACGATGTTGTTTGCGTCAATCAATTCTAATCAAACAAAGTGTATGAAGAATGATTTGTGTCTAAACTGCATGATTGTGCCTATGCATGAGCTCGAACCAAATTCTCAGTCAAAAATTTTTGATGTTTTTATTCTTTTTGTTTTTGAATTTCTTTTCTAATAAATCTTACTATGAGATTATTGTTAAACGGCTTTACTTTTTTTATCACTAAAATAAATAAAAATTAAAATATAAAAAATACAAAAAATTTATCTATAAATTCACTTTTCCTCAATTATTTTTGGTACTATTTCATCATTCTTACCAAAAGTTTTTGTATATATTTTTATATACCGGTTCTTAATATACAATTTACTAAAAACAAATTAAAAAACAAAAAAAAAACTAATTAATTTAAACTTAAATATTCGAGGTCATATTTATTTGTGTACACTGTACATAATGGCAAATAATATTATCATTTTATAAATATGTATATACTCGTATGTAGACAAATTATATGTAAATTGTATATAAAAACTGTTTCTGATGCTGTTTTTCCATATTAATAATTATCTTAATTTCTTTGGGCCATATATATGTAAATTATTAAACAATGGCTTAAGATAAAAATGAAAATGAAAACAAAATATAAATTAATAATTAATGAGAGAAACCCAATTTAAATAAGATAAAGACTAATTAATAATTATAATGTGTTCTTGCAAAAATAAATAAATTTTTTCTTCTTCCGACCTATGTATAATAAAACAAAAAAAATTTAAATAAATATTAGCATAATTTTTGGTTTATTTGCATACACACTATGTGTCTTGTTGTCACACTGTGTGTAAAATAGCGCTAAAAACGACAACGGTTTTTACACCAAAATTTTACCTTAAAAATTTCATTTCATTTTATATTCCAGTTAACTATAATAAAAAATTTACTAAAATAATAAAAAAATGGTCAGTCCATTAGATTCTATGAAACTGTACAGAAGTTGATCAGCTTTAGAATATATACTCGTTCTTACTTCTAGATCTTTTATGAAGATTATCTATGCTCATCTTCAATGAAATTATTTTACGATTAATCACTTCAAGCTGAGCTTTACTAATAAAATACAAATAAATTATCACATAATTATTTACTTAAAGAGCAATGACAAATAACGTATACATATAATGACACATACTTAAATAATGTGCCTAACGAAAATAAACTCATTTCATGAAAAGTTTTTTTTTTGGTAATTTAGAAAATTTAACTAAATTATAGTTAAACAAAACCTATTTCTTATTCATAATAAAATTAAAAGCTCTTACAAATTATTTTTATTTTCTTTGAAATCATAAAAATTAAACGAAATCTCGTAATATTCCCGTTTATTTAGAAAAAGTAGTTTGTAAAAATTCTATAGTTGCGTATGAGCACTAGATTTTGAAAAAAAATTTCCTGATTTTATTTTACCAATTATACGTCAAATTTTGTCAAATTTAATTTGATTATATGCTAAACTTTGTGAAATCAAATGTCTTTTATACGATCAAATATGATCGTAAAATACATTTGATACAATAATAGAAACTTGTTATGAATATTTAACAATAATAAAAAATATTTTATGAGTTATACACGTTGTAGTTATTTTATTTGAGTGGTATAACAGTTACATATATCATGTATAACAAATATGTTTAATATAATAGAGGAAAATCAAAAATTTTAAAGCAATTTATCAAAAATTTGTTATTATACAAAACTAAGGTACCAGACCATAATGTCAAATAAATGAAGCACATACATTATTGCAATATTATGTAGGATTTACAATATGTAGTAAGATTACTTTTTCAAACTGCATCAACAATAATCTTTCATAATAATCATAATAATAAAAAAAAATTTTTTTTGATTTATGAAATATTTTTACTCCAAATTTTTGTATAATAGTAAATTTTTATTACGAACAGCATTAAAAATATTTCAACTACAAAATTTTCTTAATTGAAAAAAATATTACGAGTATTTCATTACGTTGACCTTGAATTACCCAAATTTTTTTATGTTATTTTTTTTGTTTTTCTTTTTTAAATTTGTAAACTTTATTAATTTATTCTATTAGTATATTACTTTTAGTATTATTGTTAAATTTCACAATAGAAAATATAATTTAATCGCCCACTATTACAAAAATAATTTAAAGAGAAAACAAGAGAATAATTTTCATGTAGGCATTTAAAATGTCAAAAATTTGAAAATTTTTAAAGGGTTTTGAACCAAAAAAATTCAAATAATATGTGAACTACAAGCATGTGAAGTGTTTTTTTTTTAATATTTAATGTTGTTATACATTTTACAATCAATTGCACTCTATAGGTATAACGTAATTCCTTTAAAACTTTTACATTATTCACAATTTGTGAGCACAAATTACTCAAAATATTCAAAATATTAACTGTGAAATTCACTCTAATAACTATTTTTTATATTATACGAACCTCAAATTATCACTAACAAAATAAAATACAATACGTTTTAAATTCATTCCAAGATTTATTCTAATTTTCTATTAATATATAATATTTTTAATTCATAAATCAGAATTTTAATTAAATTTCAATTAACTTAATTCAAAATTTTGCATAAATTCCATATCAACATTTAAAAAATTTTTATATTCAACATAAAGTTCAAGTTTACAACAATTATTAAATTTTTAAACAATTTTTCATCATTTTTTTCACCTCTATTTTTATTACGTTTTTGCTTTGTCTGTTGTAAAACGAAAAAAAAAAAAATTATCTCACCTCCGGAATATAAGTTGTTTCAGGTTTTGTTTTTAATACATAACGACCGGTAATATTATTATATTCTGTATAAACTTTATCTATTGTTTTTTGTACATGTATTCGATATGTCTCCAAAATTGTTTTATTACAAATTTGTGAGCTGATCTCATTGATTGCAATAAAGAGAATAAAAGCTTTTATTATTAGCATGCTGTTGTGCTATGCTACCGACCTACCGTACCGTATATTATAATAACAATAATTACTCTCGTACTATAGTTATCGTTTTTGTCGCGCGTTACTCTTCGATTCGAACAACAAGACTCAAAAGAAAATATTATTATAAAATATGTTTTTGTTTTTAAGTTTTAATATTAATTTGAAAGAAATAGAAAATAATAATAATAATGAAAAAAAAAAAACAAAGTAAATGAAATTAAAGAACCGAAAAAAAAATTAATAAAATTTTTTTCTTTTCTTTGCTTGTGTTTTCGAACAGTGATCAAATCATACTAGCATCCGAAATTATTGTGTACATAATACTACTTCCGTTTCAACATAGATTTGAATATTATAGTTTTTTATTAAAGAAAAATTTTTAAGTTATCAAAAGTTCTCTTTTCTTTTTCATTTTTGTTTCTTTTAGTTTTTAATTTAGCTTTGTTTTGATATTTTTATACCCGTACGAACGTATGTTCGAAGGGTATACTAAATTTGCCTTACCGTTTGTAACGCTAAGAAATAACGGTGTTAGATATAGACTCAAGTGTATGTTTTTGATCAGCGTCAAATTCTGAGTTGATTTAGCTTTGTCTGTCCGTCCGTCCGTCCGTCCGTCCGTCCGTCCGTCCGTCCGTCCGTCCGTCCGTCCGTCCGTCCGTCCGTCCGTCCGTCCGTCCGTCCGTCCGTCCGAACGATAACTCAAAAACTAATTGAGCTAAGCTCACCAAATTTTCACAAATGATTTATTGTAGTAAGTGCCAGAACCCTATTTAAATTGGACATGATCGGGTTACCGGTTCGGGTAGCTGCCATACAACTTCAAAATTTATTTGGCTATATCTCAGAAACTATAAAAGTTATGGTATTGAAATTTCACACAAACGAATATATTAGTAGGGCCAGTATGCCCCATAAAAGTCGTTGAAATTACTTGGCTCCTTCTGGTACCTGCCATACAACTTCAAAAGTTATTTGGCTATATCTCAGAAACTATAAAAGCTGTGATATTGAGATTTCACACATGTGAATATATTAGTAGGGCCAATATGCCACATAAAAGTCGTTGAAATTACTTGGCTCCTTCTGGTACCTGCCATACAACTTCAAAAGTTATTTGACTATATTTCAGAAACTATTAAAGCTATAGTATTGAAATTTCACACAAACGAATATATTAGTAGGGCCAATGTGTCTCATAAAAGTCGTTGAAATTACTTGGCTCCTTCTGGTACCTGCCATACAACTTCAAAAGTTATTTGACTATATCTCAGAAACTATAAAAGCTGTGATATTGAGATTTCACACAAGTGAGTATATTAGTAGGGCCGATGTGCTTGATAAAATTCGCTAAAATTTCTTGGCTCTTTCTGGTAGCTGCCATACAACATCATTAGTAGTTTGGCACAACCAGTATTTTGAATAACACATAGTACTGAAATTTTGCATAAATTAATATGGTAATACGGCAACTTAACGTCATAGTCTGCCCCATAGTTAGTTATGGCACATTAGTTATTCGCACATAGGATAACAAATTCGTACGGGTATCACAGAGTTGACAAGGTCAACTCTATTTTTTTTCTCGTTTTTGTTTTGTTTTCATTTTATTCTTCACATACACTTTTAAGGTTAAAAAACAATAATAGTGCGAACGCAAAAAAACAACTTTATATTAAAGAAGAAGAAAGTCTAAGATATTTAGTTTCCCAACACTACGATAGGATACCGAATATAAAACTGTTAAAAAAAATTTTGATATTCTATTCTTTTTAAAAATAAGTGCTATGCCTATAAAATTTATAATGCAAAATAAATTTTTTTATTATAAAATTTGGGAATAATAAATAAAATTTAAAATATAGAACTGAATAAATAATCTCGGATCAAAAAGAAAGTTGTAACGTGCCTTAGGGTATATGGAAATTTTATAAGCACGCTCATACACAGACGAAGTTACCGGCAGAGTGAAACAAACAAACCAATTTGTTTTTATTATTCTTGCAATTGTGTTGCAAAAGCATAGTTCTTAAAAATATTTGTTCATTTTTTTTGAACATTGACTAAATCAGATGAACTGCTACGATACCAATCATATAATTCTAAATTGTTTCCACTTTCAAATTTAATTGAATATTGCAAATTTTATGACGTTAAGACAATAAAATTTGGTATACATATAATAAGTATCACGTACTTATATAATATGTATATATGTATGTACTTAATACGCATAAATATTAGCAACATTGTATTATTTAATATTTAGTTCACATAATTTCAATTATATTAACTATTTATCCATTGATATAGTCTATTGTCATTGACAAATAAAACAAAAATATTTATTTTCTAAATAAAGTGTAAATTTATTTACGTGCGAATATTAAACACATTCAGTTATAGAACAGTCAAAATATATATTATAAAAAAAAAATACCCCCACTCTTAAAAATTAAATAAAACATTACGGATATTTAATTAAAAAAAAAAAAACCTAAATGGATTAAAATTGCTTCGAAATTGAAAAAATGTAGGCATATATGTAGAAAAATTTAATTCAATTAATTATTTAAAAAAATAAAATACGAAAATGAAATGAATCAATTTCAATTTCAAATTGAAATTTAAATTGTAAATACAATAGAATAGAGTTTAGCCGAAATTGTCAACACTTGGATAGCACATCAGTAATTTTCAAAATCATATAATTAAATTTTTATAAAATTAACCTACATTGTAATTATATAAATTATATATCACGTAGACAATTCAAAATACTTACTTATATATGTATGTACATAACAAGTAAACTCCATTAACAGGCTATATTATTAAATATTCATTCAACTGTTAATGAAAATATTCAATTATTTGTCAATTTAAACAAAAATTTTTTATTTAACATTATAAAATTCCGGAAGGGAAATCCTATAATCTTAATAAAATTAAAGCAAAACTATAAATTTATACTCCAGAGCTCTTCAATTTTATGCACAATGCACTAAGCTATTTATTATTTGACAGTTATTTAAAAAAACAACAATTACGCCATGTTGAGGCTGCAAGACAATTTTAATGCACCACAGTGTACTTATAAGCTATTGAATTTTAATACTTGATTTTTCTTAACATCTTGTATAAAAAAAAATCATGATTTTACTGTAAAAATCGCTAGCTAATTCGCTAATATATACAATATAATAATTTTTTTATTTGACACATTACCATGAAAAAAAAATAAAATGCTTATGACATTTATCTGCATTAATATTGATAACATAATTTTATTTATTTATTTATTATTGATAATTGGAAACTATTTTTACAAAATGAGAATAAAAATCAATAGAATTGAAAGTGAAATTAAAATTTAAACATTAAAAATTTATTTTAAATTTTAAAAAATTCTTCACTTGATTCATCATAATAATAAAACGAGTCTATGATTCACTTCTAGCGAATATACGAGTATTGAATTATGAATAAATTTTTATTCATAGTTTTGATTTTTTTTTATATGTTTTTGTTTTCTTTTCGTTTTAAAGCCGACTATAGAAATTTTCGTTTTGTTTTATCAATGGTATAGGATTTTTTTTACTCTCCTTTTTTAAATATTTTATGTTTTCAGAGTGATCATCAATAGGATTTTTAACTAGCAAACTTTCACAACTATAGAGGGTTTGACAAATATAAGTAGGTATTAACCACCCTAAACAACCTTAATAATGGATTTAACATGTCATTATTATAATTTGACAAGTTATACTAAATTAAAAAAAATTAAGCTGATCTTGGAATTCGGTACCTTGAAATGTTTGCTTCCCTGGAGGTGGATTGACAGTGAGTGGAATTTAAAAAATTTTCAAAATATATTTACAGGAATGGATCAGAGTAAATTTAACATAAAAACGACATTATTCCTGACGCATATAATATTAAACAATGTTTTAAAAGTGCCATTCTATTTTAAAATCTATCACCTCATTCAGTTTGAATACATAGACTTATTAGAGAACATAACCATTGAATTAAGCTCATGTGTTAAAAACCTAAGCTAAAACAGTTGTAAAACGAAAATCAATTTTCATTTTACTATGAAGCACGCTGTTAAAACATAAAATTATAACATATTTGCATATTATATAAATATGTATACTATAGATAACTATTATTTTTCATTCATTTAGCGGACTACTAAAATGAAAGACAATAAAAACAAAATATTATGCTTTCGATGCTTTAGAATTTCTTTGAACATTTATTGTAGATACACATAAAACGTAATCAGTTATGTAACGGCTTGTGACCAAAAGATATACTATACCGGAATAAATTTGCATTTTGATTAGATTAAAAGGAAGAAAAATAATAATATACAAAGTATATGATTATATAGTTTGTCCTGCAAAATTATTAAGTTGTCGAATCATTTTCATATAATAGTCATAATGTCTTCTACATTTTAATATTTTAAAGCAGATAGAAATTTTACTTTATCATAAAATATTTAGAAAAATGTGCGGTAGTATTCCCAATTCGAAAACAAATAAAGAAAATTCTACTTAAAAAAATCAAAAAATTTAATAACTACATTATACATCACAGTATTGTCATATTTAATATGTAAGTTTAGGTTTAGATTCGAGCAAATATATTACATATTAACTCCTGATCGATACAAACTATAAAATATGTAAGAAACATAATATAACATGCTTCTCCATCAATTAACTAACAATCTACGGAAAGCCCTCTTGTGTTTTCCTCTAACTAACGATAAAGGCTTGACTCCCTAACCGTTCTACTGATGAGCCAGAGTAACTTTTCTAACCCAATATTCAGGAACATTTTGTTGTTAAACGAAGCTTCCACTCAAATAAGTTTTTTCCTCATATTAATGCTTAGTTCAAGAAAAAATGTAAAAGAATCAAAATCTGCAAAAATTACCTTTATATTATAATGTTAAGTATGTTTGAAGATCTATAGTT